TTCGTACTACGTCTCTCTCTCTCTCTCTCTCTCTCTCTCTCTCTCTCTCTCTCTTCTCTCTCTCTCTCTCTCTCTCTCTCTAGAAGATCAGAACTCTGTACTTTTGGATAACTAGCAATTTACCATACATTTCTTACCTTGTGGACTTGAATGTTTATATCATGGCTAATGTTAGCATCTGGTTCTGCATCACTTCTTGATGATAAAAATGAAACCGATAATGGTTTTGTGGTAGATCTTCTTTTGCGAGTGTTTGAGCTACTTGTTTGTGTTACCTGCTGCCACCTCTCTCTCTCACAAAAGATTTACTTTTCCTGTTAGAATGTGACCCACTGACTGAGGGATTGGGGACTTCAAAAGTTTGTAGTATACTTGAATTACTTTGATGGGTTTTTTAGATTGTAATCAGAGCTAATTCTCTCGAGAAAGCTTGGCAGTTAGTGGTGACCCTGGACTTAGGTTTGTTAACTTCCATGGTGTGGTTGTGTTAAAGTGGATATTATGATTGTTTAGCTTTAGATTTCTGGTGAGCTTTGCATGATTGCAAATTGCAGACACTTCCACTAATTTGAAAATTAACGTCCAATAACATTCACCTCACAGGCTCACATTTTAATTGTATATAATATTTTCACATTTTTTTCTTTGAAAATCCTTTGAAGTGTCTTTGAAGATTCTGAACTCTGTTAATTATCTCCATTGCAAACTTTCTTTTGATTCTCATTTAAAAAATTCTTAAATCCCCTGGCTTGAACAAATCGTTGCTTCCAATTCTTAAATTCTTAAATTCTTAACTTCCTTGATTACCTTTTTCTCCATTGTCTTTTTTCTGATATCTTAGGTAAATTTGATTTTGTATCGTAGCTTCTTGATAATTGCATCCAAACTTTGCTTCTTGATAATTGCATCCAAACTTTGTTTAATGAGTTTGTATATTGAGGTGTGGATGTGCTTTAGATAGATCATACATTTACAATGATTTAAATATAATATGTAATACTGAATGAGATGAAATTCATGGATGCAGTCCTTAAAGTTGCTAGGCATTCAAATACAGAAGCTTATATGGTTTTTCAAAGCCCCTTCAAGTCTTCAATGCTCCACGCTTTCCTTTTCCTTTGTATTTATATTATTTACTGGGGAACCTTACTTGTAGCTCGTGGCGATCCCCTAGTTTTTTCCATGTTAGTACCAATCGATGCTGCTAATATTTAAATGATTTCGTGACAGAGGACTATCGATGAAATACATAATGAACAGTATTTAATTACAAAATGTTTTTAAAAACTGCATTTCGTACATCGTATCAATGAAATACATAATGAACAATATTACAGGAAGTTTCTAGCTGTCCCATTGTCAAACAGGTGAAATTACCAGTGCCACAGTTTATCAAACAAGGTTTCCAGCTTTCAACACCCTACTAATTTTCACCTTATTCCCAAAATCTAGGAAAATCAGTAGCAGGGGTGATTCCCAGGGACACTGCAGTGAAAGTTATCAAACGCTACCTACTGTAAGGTCTTCACCCTTCTTAGACCATGGATTCTACAAGCACTGAGCAAACCTCCCCGAACCGCTCTATCCGGCTCAATTGGCATGGTCTGGATAATGGGCATGGCTTCCTGTAACTTTCCATGCTCTTTGATCATGGAATCAAAGAATTCACAGGCTTCATCCTCTAAGTCCCCATGATTACATGCTGGGAGAACATAGATGAAGGTTATATGTGGTGGTAAGACCTTTGATTCTTTCATCGCTTCAAATAACAGAATGGCCTTAAGTGCACGACCATGATGGGCATAACCCCACATCAGTGCATTCCAAGAGATCATATCTCCATAAACCATCGCATCCTTTGTAGCGTCCCCCATGTCTCCATAAAAACCTAACCTTTTCGTCTAGAGAGAGAAGAAAGAAACCCCTTGACCGGTAGGAATCCCTGAAAATCCTATGCCTAAGCCCTTTATGAACTGTAGAGAAGTGGACCTAAAGGCGAAGATAGAGAAAACAATGGGTCATTACTTTCTTTTGGGATATTATATGGATTTTTCATGATGGGATTGTTGCTTTTTATGTCTGTCTCTACTTTGATATTCAACAGTTTTCCCTTTCTCTTGAAATCGACGAGTTGGTCTTTCTGTCTCTAAAAATCAACAAACAAAACATTGTATATTATTATTTTTTTCCAATTTATTTACCTTTTGTTATTACAAATTCATTTACAAATCTCTTGAAGTATTATTATTATTATTTTTTACAAATTTATTACTTTTTGTACAAACTTAATAAATTGTACTATTTTATTTTATTTTTGTTTTATTTTTTGGATTTTTGTATTGCTTTGTTTGTGTGTTTCTTGCATTTCTTGCCATGAGATTCATCACCATTAAAAAAATAATAAGTTTTAATTTTATCTGCCCAATGGTCATAAATTTCTAATATATGAAAATTCTAAAATACTGGTAGATAGTCAAAAGTCCAAAGAAAAACACATATCTAGATAATTTAAAATCTAGATTATATAGAAAGCAGGCAAGGTCTTTATTCAAATTTCAAAAAATTTGAATATTCAAATCCTGTTTTGTCGAACATACCCTTAATTAATGATTGGCTAATGCCCATATCTCCAGGTTCTAGAATCCTAGGTTTGATCAAACACTATTTTTCAAAATCCCTAAGAATTGCAGACAGGTTATCAAACAGTTTCTTTCCTATCCAGGTTTTAGATGCTCTAGTTTCTTGGGAGCCAGATTTTCTAGCTTGCTAGGAAGTTCAAGCTTCTTGTTGTCAAACAGGCCCTTAGGATTCCCTCTCTCTCTCTCTCTCTCTATATATATATATATATATATATATTATAAGGGAAATGCTGACGTAGGCCCACTCGCCTACAGCTACATATAGGCTCAACGGCCCAGATTGAATCTGGGCCAATCCAATGATCACGATTGCATTTCGTATTTAAATTTGAAATTTTTTTATATAACTCTAAATCACTTAAAATTTTGGGCGTCTGTTATTTAAAAATATTAGAATCCAATAAAAATATCAAAAAAATATTTCGTGAAAAATAAATTGACCAAAATACTCCCGAAACATTTCAGGGATATTTGGCCAATTTATATTTTGCGAATTATTTATTTATTTATTTTTATTAAGTGCACATTTATGAGAAGAATAAATGCCTAAAATTTCACATGATTTGGATTTGTAAAAAAAAATTAAAATAAAAATTCAAATAGGAAATGAGGTCGTGTTCGTCAGATCAGCCTAGATTGAATCTGGGCCGTTGGGCACATATGTAGTTGTAGGCTAATGGGCTTACGCTAACATTTCCATATATATATATATATCTATATTCTGTCATCCTACGGGCTGACTGCTACAGTGTCAGCCAATGGCCCAATTCAATCTGGGTTGATCTGACGGTTACAGTCTCAATTCGTATTTGAATTTTCATTTTTTTCTACAAATTCAAATTACTTAAAATTTTAGGCATTCGTTCTTCTCATCAAGGCGCACCTAATAAAAATATAAAAAAAATAATTTGCAAAATATAACTTGACCAAAAAACCCCTAAATGTTTTGGGGGTAGTTTGGTGAATTTATATTTTGCGAATTATCTTTTTTATATTTTTATTAGATTCTTATATTTTTTAAGAATAGACGCTTCAAATTTCAAGTGACTTGGATTTGTAGAAAAAAATGAAAATTCAAACACGAAATGAGGTCGTGACCGTCA